GCCAAGCATACTCCGTCTACATGTACATTTAGGATACAGTAACCAACCACTGGTTTATTCCAGGATGATTCTACATCACTGAAAGTAGCCTAATAAGAAATTAAATCTAAGCTATGATAGGATCCGAATTTGAAAGCGCCCTCATACCTAGAAGCTAGTGTGATGGATCTGCAGTGTGATTACCAGTGTGATGAAGTCCCAATGAGATGAGGCTGCAAGGCACCAATATTACCTGAATAGGAAACAGGCGCTAATCAGCGGGAAACAGTGACACGAAAAGATCCCTTCGTCATATTATTCAATTTTCAAGCATTTTTGAACACTTTTTTAATATCTTTCTCCTATGTTATCTGGCTGGTTATTCTTTATTACTTCATACTTAGCTGAAACACGGGGATAAGTGAGCTTGAGACTAGACTTCCCAGCCACTCGCCAACATCGTCCATCCCCACCCTTACAGCTCACATTGCACAGAGACAGGTCAAGCCAAAGTCTTCACCCGTGAAAGCATATGCCCATGCTCCGTACTCCGTACTAGACCATTGCTTGTCCTTTGTGACGGACTCGAATGCACCTCAGACGATCGGTTGCCCCCTGCATCATACAGAGACAAAGCAAAGCCTTTGGACTTTAGGATCCGTTGACTTTGACCATTGGTCGCATATTGGTCGCATATTGGTCGCGAAGTGCTCGCGCGCGCGATGCAACCCTTGCGACACTCTGAACGAGACATCCTACTCAGTACTATGATACCCAAAAATATCTAAACACGAATCGAATTCACGAAAGCGACCGTGGATGCTTCAGGTCTCCGTGGGTGTGCTGTTTCCAAGATGCCGGGCGTGGAAGTGATGGGGTCATCGGAGGATTTGCAAGCATTCGAACGGCCACTCCTAAGGTCTCACAAGACGCTCCCTCGGCGGGGTGTAATGGTTCCTAGCATCGAGGTCATCCAACCGGTCTCGCCGGATCAGAATGGGAGACATACTGCGACGCCATCGCTTCCCTTGACACCCCCGGGTGCAGGCCACGAAGAAGTCGTGGTTGACGAACGAATACCTCAGAAAATGAATTCTTCTTTGTCAGACATACCAACATCTGGGTTGTTGACCCCTCGCCGTCCTTCTAAGCCTCCAACCCCGGATGTGACGCCTCCTCGAACGAACTCGAATAAGCGACCTACCTTGAACCAGTTTAATTATCTCTCTTCATCTTCTCGAGCCGATTCATTTCAAACAGCTTTGGAGAATATCTCATCGGAAGATGATATGGACACCCCGGTTCGCATGTCTCAGACTGCGACTCAGACCCCAAAACAAAGGAGGCAACCATCAAAGCCACCCGCCTCAAATGGGTATCTTTCACAATTTTCAAATATAAAAGGATCTCTGTCATCTACTTCTCAACAATATAGCGAAACTGAATGCGAGACCCGCTTCGAGTCTTTTGATGGGCATTGGGCCGCAAACCCGATCGATGGGTCGCCAACACCGTTAGCCGGAAAGCGAAAGTCTGCACAGAACCACTCTCAATCAGTCTATAAGTCAACCCCCGGGAAAGATGTGTTGGATGTAAAGCACCTAGATGCCTCGTTGATGAGGGAAAAAAGTTTGCGGGACCGTGTCGATAGTGCACATGAAGTCAAAGCAAGGACCTCAATGGAGCAGTTCCGTGAGAATATTGGGTCGTCATCACAGGAGGGTCTAGCAAGATTTAGTGGACCAGATGCCCGTCCTTTGTCGGTCATCTCCTCGACATCCACCGTTGAGGCTATGATAATTGACTCTCCGAAACGAGCCCAGCGAATGCTCCGGCATACTGAAAAGAGAAGCTCTCTGCGGTCTGCCAGCTCTCCCATCACAAGATCTGAGCGTACATCTTATGGCTCCCTCCCTGAATCCCAACACCGCCTGGTTCGCAAGGCCGGTCGCATTACTGATCAGGATATTCGAAGTGGAACATCCGAGATGTCGTTCTCGACCAAGACTAGCCACAGTGAAATACAGCCTAATATCGAAACTATCAACGTGGTGGTCATCCCGGAGAGAAGTTCATCTCTCAGGTCTCGGCCTAATAGTTATGCTTCTTCTAAACCGGGTTCTCACCGATCAAGTCGTCGTCCGACAGCCTCAATGGGCCGCACAGATATCCCAGGGCAGAATCAACGCACCGTTTCTGATTCGGTGCCGACTCGATCTCGCGAGACTGATTCCAGGGGTCGTTCCATGGGGCGACCTATCATTCCACCTCGTGCCTCATCGCTTTCTGCGCCGACGAGTCAGAACAATTCTCGCGCCACTTCTCTCACTTCCAACAGCTTGCGTAGTCGTCCCATGGCGCGTCCAGCCATACCACCCCGAAGCTCGTCGCTTTCTGCGCCAACGAGTCGGGAGGACTCTCGTGCAACTTCCCTTACTTCCGACAGTCTACGAAGCCATAACTTAGCCATTGACCTAGCCATTGACCTCGAGATGCAAAAGCATCGTGAGCATCAGCCGGTATCCCCGCCTCGTCACAACGTTTTGGCTTCACCTGACCGCCATGGCCTACTCGAGGCTCCCAATATACACGCCCTCTTTGCTAGCTCCGATGATATGGCAGCCCTGCGTCCTCCATCTTTGCCCTTCACCCAAGGCTCGATTCCATCGTATTCGCCGGGACCTATCGAAATTCAAGAGGCTACAGCCGTCAGTCTGTTCGCACACAACAACCACTCACTACTGCTTGTTGATCCTCGGGTACAAGCCTCCTCGAGGCGCCCTTTCCAAGTGCTTGGGATTTCTTATGATCTTCCCCAACCCCCTCGCACACCCGACAATCCACCACAAACAGCAGCGTACCCCGTCGACTCACCTTTAAAGAACCCCCGCCCTCCACCCAAGCCCCCATCTAGCAGACCTCTTCCCCCGCTTCCATTAGATGATACTCAAGATGAAAACAAAGGCCCCGGTCGACGATGGAGTTCCGTCCGTCGTACCTGGAGCGCCCGTCCTCGGTCGGATTCCTTCAACACTATAGCGCGATCCTTCTCCGTGAAGTCGGCGAAGAACCGAACCGCAGGAATGGAAATGGACAGTCGTCTATATCCGTTTTGGCGGCCCCGCGGATTCTGGGAAAACGTGCCCGGGTCCCCGGAGAAAGAACCCTCACCGACGCGGGAAGCTTTGCCGTGCCCCGATGAATCCTTGGTTGTAAACAACTCTCTTGGCCTGCCCCAGCGGCGCATCATCTTCGATGGCCCGCCTGCTTTGGCGCGCCGCAGCCCAGAAATGAGACGCTTGTTCAGTGGGATGACTAACAACGGGAGCTTGGTTGATCAAGGCATGTTCCGAACAGGATCCCCATTAAACCCGGCTCGCTTCCGGTCTCTCTCTCGCTGGGGACTGCGGCTCCAGTCGATGTCATGGCGTAATGTGCGGAATCGCATGCTGCGTGTGCGCCAGCGGCGAGACGAGAGAAAGCGGGCTGCCCGGAGGGAAATTCTCAAGCAAAGTATCGGTGGCCCTGTTTACGTGGCATCTAGTGCTACGGCTGAGGTGGCTATGAGATGACTTAAATGATGTCTTTTTTTTATGTTTCGTTTCTGTTATGACCACATTTATGATTGGATATGTTTCACGCATTTCAAACACTTGCCTGACGATTTCACGATGCATTTGCTTTTTTTGCTTTTTTTTGCTTTTGTTTTTTGAAGAATTGCTTCAATGCCTGATCTTTTGACATGAGATCTATGATGATTATGAAGCACGAAATCATGATGATGATTCCATTGTTTTCTTCCTTTGCCTCAACTTTTGTTGGTTTCCTAGATGTACCATTAACTTGTTTTGTTTACTGCTAGCATACATTACCTATCGGGTTTTCAACCTGTTCATCAGTCCAGGACTGGATAAGGGTTTCAAGCCGCCCCTTGCTCTCACGTTGTGTGACATAAGATGGCCTATCGAGCAATAATCTCTTGGCTCCAGGGCTGGATGTAAACAAGTCCATTAAGTAATATATTGATAGATGGGTACACATCTGGATGTCCTCTATGAAAGCAAGACCAAGTAAGTTGGAACCATATAATACTGAGCAAGGTCTTCTAGAAAAATACGCTAGATACTGCCTGAATAATGAAGTATTCAAATGGTCATACCTGACCTATCAACCAAATATGGGGTATCCAAAAAAAAAAAGCCCTTCCAGCTTATCCTAAACCCATCAAGATCAGTGCCTACCACCCCAGTAGACATTGCCTCTCCCCCTTCCCCTCTTCCCACGTCCACGTACACTCGACCGGCCGCGAATAGCCATAGACCCATATTCCGTCTCGCGCTCCACTCGTTGTCTCATCCGCTCTGCCGACTCATCTTCCTGGTTTCCCTCTGAGCTCAGTTCAGCTTTTATTGACTGTGCTGCTAATCTCTCGCGGCTGTGTTTGAGTGTCGCTTCCCAAGTTGGTGGGTCCAGGAAGGGCTGTGGCGGCATAGAGAATGAGACTTCAAAGCGCGGGGGTTGGGGCTCGTAGTCTTCATCTTCAACTGTGCTTTTATTATGATTGCTTGAGCTTGTTGGCTTATTTCTTCCTTGAATGGCCTCTTCATATGATGGTTTGATGCTCGTCTCTGCGGGGATGGCGCTAGGATTCAGGACTTTGTATACTTTGGGGCCTGACTTGTTGGTTCCCGAGGGTAGAAGAGCGCGCTTATTTGGGATGAGCAGAGGCCGGGATTTCTGTGAGGATTTTGACGAGGCCATGATTTCGAAGCGACTTCAGGTAGGGAAAATGAAGAGATGAAGTTGCAACAGTTGGAGATAAGCCGAATCAAGATCTTATCAGCTTATCGGGTAGTGATTTAAGGTGCCAAGGCGATTTATGTATCTTCCATTTTGATGTTATTAGCACTACATTAATTGAGATAATATGAATGTGTCCCGGCCGAAACATGATAAGAATTCTACCTGTTTTCTTTGGGATACATCTGGACTCCCCTGGTTCCCCTCCTGAGATATCCTTACTAGCGCTGGCGCAGAGCAATCTTCAGCCCAAAGTTGGGCACATAAAACTCCTCGAATGAAAGGGAGCCAGTCAAGGGGGCGGAGGCTGAATTAGGCAGGAGTATATCATACTGAACCAGAATATGCGCGAAGACGAGCTTCATCAGCGCGCTAGCCATCCATCGTCCAGGGCTACGAACACGAGCAAAAGTCAGCCGATAGGATCCGGGCGGTTGGATTTGAAACACGAGTATGAAAAGAAAAAGGGTCAGGCAGAAATGAGATTTACCAGGCATGTGCGCCCATTCCAAAAACCAAATAGTCAGGGCTCAGGTCGACCAGCCGGGAGTTCTTGGCTCCAGCTGCTGCACGCTTGACGAACCGGAAACCGTCGAACGCGTCGGGGTTCGCATAGTGCTCGCTGGATCGTTGGATAACTCCGCTTGGGACAGCAACGTGGGAGCCCTGCTTGAGTGTGATACCTGTTCCATTCCATACTTGATCAATTCGGTGTTTCCTTAGTGGCCTAGTAGTGTGCGAGAGTACAAACCGTTGGAGAGCTTGAGGTCACTAATACAAACCCGATGAGCAGAGACTAATATCCATGTTATTGCATTAGCCACGCACAATTCCCATGGGTGGTCGCATATAGACATACGTGCTGAAGGGGGATTTAGTCGTTGGCACTCCTTCAGGAAGCTATCCATCAAAACCATGCCATCACAGGCTGGAACGGTCGGTCCCATTTCAGAGAAAATCAGATCAATTTCCTCACGCAGGGGTGAAATATACTCGGGTCGTCGAGCTAGCTCGACCAGGGCGCCGTAGAGTCCCTATTGGTGGCTTAATTAGCAAATTGCAGGATGATGACATGCGTACGAAGTACTTACATACGACGTGGTGTATATAAAGGCAAACTGCAGAAGCAACATTTCACCTATCACCTCTGCATATGTCCATCGCTCCCGAAGAACACTGCTCTCATACAGCCACTGGAAGATCTCAACCTATAGATTGTTTAGTCATGGTGTCAGTTGGAGGAAGGGGAAGGGGAGACAGGAATACCGGATTGTCCGTGCCATTGAGATTAGTCTCACTGGATCCGTTGCCCGTGAATATCTTGGCGTGATACTCTGCTGCACGTGCATCAAAGTGCCTGAGCATAATCTTACGCGAGGCGTGCATATCCCAACTAGTCCCAAGAGTGGCGAGGCGACCGATGAGCCCACCAATGTAACTATTGATGTCTTAGTCCACCGAAAATGAAGTCAGTGAAGCATCTGACTCACGGTTTCAAGCAATCCGGAACAAGAAATTGTACACGGGTGGTTACTATCATCCCAAGGATGTGGTCCTTGGCGGCTTTAAGATATTCCTCATTCTGAGAAAGCCGCGAACCAACGAGAGCAAAACTGCCACTGCGGGCTACGATCGAGTATGCCAGATCAAAACAGCCAATTTTACATTCTAGTTGAAGTCATCAGAGACCATTTAGCCGATAAAGCCAGTCAAAACTCACCCCCATCTTTGAAGTCTAGGGTCTGCAGCTGCGAGATGATTGCCTGGTTCATAGCGGGCATATACCGATGCAAGTGCTTGTAAACCGTGGCACGAATCAAACCAGGCGTAGATTTAGCGATTTTCGGCCATCCCCTCCCCTTGGGGAAATAGCCAGGCATAACATGAGAGACTTGGAGGAGCTGTATAATGTTTGTTAGCGCAAACATAGAAAATCCATCCGACAGCCCTACCTGATCAATCCACGGCTCGGGAGATACAAGAGTACTCCGTTTATTTCTTAGCTCTTCAATCAACTCCGACTGGCACAATATGACCTGACCAAAGCGGAATGTCCGTGGGATCTCGAACAAGCCATTTGCGAATTGTTCATAGCCTTTATTTATCAAACTGGGTCCGTCCACAACAAACTCGTACTGCTGGTATAAAACCGAGAAATAGTCTTTGCGTATAGGAAAAAGAACTTGGTTCTGCCGGTGAGCAAATAGTATCAGCGTCTTGCGAATTTGTACTTCCGTCAACTATCACCAGATAAAGGTCACCAACGTTAGCCATGCGATAGGAAGTAAACACCAAAGCGGCCGCAACCAAAGAGCAAAAGAGAAAGGAAACAAGTAGGCACAGCACTATAGCTGAACTGCGAGGTTCCACCTCGGTCCAACTGAGGATATAAAGGGAAGCCATTTTATTCTAAAGAGACAGTGGGAAAGAGAAGATGGACAAGAAGGGCCTGGATGAGCGAGATTATATAGGTTTCGTCCAGCGAAAAAGGATGAGATGAGAGAAAAGCAATGATATCACTGTGCTAGGTTGAAATTGCTTCTACGGAGCGAATCTGTGCTCGCAAAAACGAGCGACAAAAATAACTCGGTGTGATATACGCACATAATGTACCGGACTTTATAATTGCATCAGACTACTCTCTGACCCCCCCTTTTTTTTTTTTTTTTCAGACAAAGATTTTGGGCCAAATATAGCATCATATTGGAAAGTAATATAGTACTGTATTGGAAATGAATCAAAGAAATCGTATAAGGGACTCATAAAAAATATAGACGGACATGGAAAGAAGATGAACAAACTCCCTGGCAAGTATCAGCGATCGAATGTGTGGTATAATGATACAAGCAGACAACGCAAGCCACGCCCGCAGTAAAAAGAAAAGAGAAACCCCCCAGCAATGAGGCCAAGAAAGTATTAGGCAGGCAAATCTATGCGATGCTCTGGGATTCCATCCCACCCATTGTGGAGTATGAATAAGGTAAGTCTACCAGGCCGTCAAGCAGCCAGTTCAACGGATCGAAGACTTCGTAATTAGGTTCAATGAAGCCACTTGGAAGTCCGTTAGGTTGGGTTGCGGGTGGTTGGATCCCAAGACTAGCCTGGGATAGCAGGGGTGCTGGGGCAAGGCTTGGGTCATTCCCAGACATTCCTGGTGTTATTGTAGATGTGTGTACAGGCCCGACAGATGAAGTGGCCGAAGAATCGGCTGCCGAGTCAGGATTTGTTGGATTTTTTAGATAGGCTAATATTAACGGTTAGAGACTTTTATTTATACTTGAGAGTGAAAAGGGATACTGACCTTCAATGTTTCGGCCCTTAGTCCTGGCATCCTCTCGCCAACGCCACACAGAGTCGAAAAGCAGGGACATGCTCATCCGGCAGCGTACTTTGAGTCGCAGAGAGTCGTCAACATCGGTACTATTGTTAGCCCGTTGAGTCGCTCCTCCCAATCTCCACATCTGAGCCAACACTTCAGCAAGCCGTTCGGGCAGGTCATTGCTGGACGCTGACACCCCCCGGATGGCCCAGATTGTACGATTGAATAGGTTCTTGGTGTATTCCATGTCTATGTGAGAGGCGAAAAAGCTCTTGCACAGCTTCAGGAGAGTGCAACCGGCGGCAACCATCATCTGATACACATAGGATGGGGTGTAAGAGAGAACCGGTCCAACCTCGGTCTCGAGGTTTAGGACAACTTCGAGGAATGATGTCGTTGCGACATAGAGAGATAAGACGCGTTCGCGGTAATTTTTAGTGGTTGGCTCGTCAAAGAATGCCGAAAGGTGCAAATGAAGGTTAGCAGCACGGAGAAACAAGTCAGTAATACCTGGATGTCGTTAGTTATGCATCCAATGTAACCCCACTTGAACTTCAGAAGCTTACAGTCATTCTGCGATTTAAGCTGTTCTTCCAGCTCCTCAAAGTCTCGCGACAGAAAGGCAATCATTGTCGAGCGTTCATGGTCGCTGGTTAAGCCAACAGGATCGCGTCGATTTGTGTAAAGCGCTCGGGTGACCCTGTCGCAAAACTTTTCGATCTCCAATCTTGGCCTTATATCTTCAGGAAGCTTGAAGTTCGGGTCTAGGGAATCGCTCGAAGATAATGTCCAGTCGTAAAGAGTAGATGATGGCTGTCCATAGCCGGTGGAAACCCTGCAAAGTAAAACATGAGACAAATACGAGCAGCGATTAATAATGGGTTTGTACATACCTCTGAGCAACAATATTGCAAATCGCCCAAGTTCGCACCTTGTCTCTCAGTTCATCCTCGATCAGTTCCACTCGGAATTTACTAAAGTCCTGAGTATGGGAAGGCCGATGGAGACCAAGCTGCATAGCAACCTGTACCATCATTCCACATAGCATAAAGGTCGGATCTGTTGAGGTGCTGCTTGTGGGGAATGGCCATGAACATAATAGAGCGAGAGCCTTCACGACATGGTAGCTTTGAGGGATATCTGCTAGAGTGCTCCAGACCAGCCGGCTGACAGGACCAGCGAGAGAATTCAACAAATTCGAATCGCCTTGATAGCGTCGTGCACCGACACTGAGGATTGTCCAGAAAAGCAATGTAGAGGAACTATGATAATCCTCGGGGGACTGATTTCGGTCCAAAAATGGAAGGAAGGGGTGGTAGTATGTGAAAAATCTGACAGGAACAAGTTAGATCAATCACGGAGACTTGATAGACGAGGACTCACATATTAAACAGTTCTGCCACTTTCTCGGGGACAACCATAACATCCTCAATTCGTCTGATCTGTCCACCGTTCCTCATGAAGTTGGTACCATCGAAGCCCGAACGAAGGTCCAGGAGGGATGCAACAGCTTCTTGAGATCCCATGTATTGGTCTGCGGACATGGCCGATGGGGTTTGATATACTGCAGGACTGACTTGACTCGATTCTTGCTTGGGTGTCAATTGTCCTGCTGTCAACGCTTGTTGCTGTGACATTCCAGGGACTGGTTGGCCAGTGGCAATCTGCTTTCTGAGCTCCATTATTTCCCTTTCCATTTCCGCATTGCGGCTGCGCTTCCCAACACGTTTGAAGTTCGATTCAATTTTACAATCGAGCCTCAGTCGACGGCATCGCGAACAATCGGTCCATGGGTCTTGAATGACATCGCATCGGAGCTGTCGCAACCCGAAAAAAAATTAGTCAAACTGGAGAATCCCGACTTTGCGGTAATATTCTAGACCTACTTTCTGTTGTCGACATTCATTGCAAGCGCGCTTCACTGGCTGACGTCTCTTCTCCTCGCGCGCATCGTTATCATCCATATCCTCGATACTTCCCGGGGAACTGTCGATCCCCGCAATGGTCATATTGCGTTTGCGGCCATGCACACCATCGGCGGCAACTGAGACAGGTAACCGATTTAAACCCGCCATTACGGGACTGGTACCAATAGAAGCATTATCAATGGTCGCAATCGGTTCAAGAGTTTGGGCCTGGCCCTCTCCGATGCCGTTTGATCGCCCGAGAGAAGCCAGGCTGAATGACGTTTTTGCGGATCGTGATCTCGGTTTCAGACAGTTGAGACAGATTCGGACGGATTCACAGACACACGATTTGGCTCTTGATCCGGGCAGTTTGGTTTGGCTATTTCCTTCTCCTTCTTGTTTTTCTCCAACAAAACCGTCTCAACTTTCTTGTTCTCACTCGGTGAGCGCGCTTCTTCCGGGAACCACGATGAGTCAGCGCAGAGGGGCATATCACCTGACTATATATGCTTCTATTTTGCACGTGACTTCGTATCGGCTTTCTAGCACGTGACAGGGAATGTAGATTTTATCACTTTTCATAGCATGTAAGGAGTACAAAATACAAGCATATGAAAAAAAGACACTAGAATGGCACTAGAAACCTTTGTGCATAACATAAAATATACCATGCATGTCCAAACAGCCTTGGGGGCAGTACTGAAGCCACTAAGGTAGCAAGGCAGTGTAGGCGCGCCCGGTTTCATATGTTCTGACCCAATCCAATACGAGATTGAAGAAAACGTTTTCATATCATTGGATCGGAGGGCAAATGAACACGGACATCCCATCTATTCACCTCCACATTTGAATGTATTTTGCGGAGGTTTAGGCAAATGTAGTTTAGGTTTCAATCTTTCAGGGCAAGTAGTGGCAATCATTATCATTGCACCTTGCCTATTTCGTCCATCTCGGGGGGCTATGAAAGGCCAGGAAGGCTGTAAAAGTACCATGCTGACTTGTCTTTATCTGGGTGTGGTCAGATAACGAGATACCTGGTGTTCATCATGCAACATTGAACTGACATAAAGAGCCGCCGGACCACACCTCTCAGACTTGAATCACCAACACTTACGTCTTCTTCTTCCTCTATCAAACGTCAACATGGGTATGCCAACGGATGAAAAGTCCAAAGACGCACCCATTCAATCTGAAGCCATCGGCAAGTCTTCCAGTGAACGACCACCTCCCTATTCGGCCAATGAGGTCGAGCAGCCGCCACTAGAACTGCCACAGCTGGATCTGAGTTCCAATCTATCTGCTTCAACTACCATCACTCGCGACCAGTGTGTTGCACATCTCAAGTTTCTGGCTGTGCTCGCAGATCTGCGAGATACTATCTCTAGTGATGACGGGCTCTTTGATATCTACGATGCCGAGGCTGAAAGATTCCCGGATTCACTGAATGAAGCGCGGGCACGTATTCGCGAAAAGCGCTGGGCGGTATATACAGCGCGTGCAGTTGACCGATATACCGAGTGGTGGTCTCATGGGCTCCCCGGATCAAGACCGATGGCAACTATTAATGACTTGGAGTCTATCGACTATGAAAACATCATTAATTGTGGTACTATTGTTGCATGGAGCACGGAAAACCTACCCCCGCTGGGTAAGT